TAGAAAATATACGGTTTTATATATTTATCTGATAGGAGAATTTCCAGTCTTCTAGTTAATCAGTTGATTCGTTGTGGTTGCCGCTTTTAATTTAAGAGATATTAATTATCAAAAATCGTCGAAAAAGTATCAAGCACCCCCTTGGCAATTTTTTCTAAGAATTAAACAAATTTCATCTCTTAGATTTACGTTTTAACTAGCGTATCTTATATAGAGAATGGTCCGTAGAATAATCCCTGAGAGTTGTACCTATTTATCTCTTCTAGCTTGCTGTAAAGATATCTGCAATTGGAAAAAATGTAAGCAAAAATTGAAAATGTCACTTTGTAAAGTACTTTTTATCAAAAAAAGTTTTTTATCCTTTATTGTAGAAAATATACTATTTTATATATTTATCTGATAGAGAATTTTCCAGTCTTTCATAATCAGCGATTTCCGTTGCGGCTAATGCTTTTTAGTTTAAGAGATATTAATTATCAAAAATCGTCGAAAAAGTATCAAGCACTTCTTTGGCAATTTTTCTAAGAATTAAATTTCATCTCTTAGATTTACTGCTCTTTAACTACATGTATCTTATAGAGATTGGTCCGTAGAATAACTTTCGAGAGTTGTAAATTTACTTCTATCTCTTTGTAGTTTACGAGATATCTGCAATTGAAAAATAAAAATTGAAAAATGTCACTCTTTTAGCACTTTTGGTCGCGTTTTTCAACCTTTTATTGTAGAAAATATAATTATTTTATATATTTATCTGATAGAGAAATTTTCCAGTCTTCTTACAATCAGCGATTCGTTGGTAGCCATCGCTTCTTTGAAGGCTTCTACATATATTAAACTAAATTTGGCAATTTTTTCTTAAGAATTAAAATTTCATCCTCAGATTTCCATTTTAACTATTCTATCTTGATAGAGATTAACCGTAGATTAAGACGCTGCGATCAGATCTTGTCTCATTCCTTTCTTTTGTTTACGAGATATTCTGCGATTGAATAAAATGGGCAAAATTTAAAAATGTCACTTTTCAGCACTTTTTAGTCGCATTTTTCGACCTTACTGTGAAAATATACTATTTTATATTTTTATCTTATAGAAAAATTTTCCAATCTTTCATAATCAACGATTCTTTGTGGCTATCACTTTTAGTTTAAGAGATATTATTGATCGAATATCGTTGATAAAAATTATCATGGTACTTGACAATTTTTTTTAAGAATTAAAATTTCATCTCTTAAATTTCCAATTGAACTAATTTATTTTCGTATGCCGAGAAATATTGCGCAAAAGTAAATTTCTGTGTGTATGTGTCTTCCCAACTACGTGTTTATCAGTACGTTTGTGTATAAACAACTTTTTTTGTTCGACTGACGCGTGTTATCGCTGCATACCCGCCTTGTACCCGGCTACGCGCAGCGCACACGGCAGTTGTTTCACCGCGTGGTCCTCGGGCGTGTCTCGCTAATCGCCACGCGTTTTGAGGTTTTAATTGGAGTAATCGTCGTGTATTCTTTCGGCCATCTGCAAAATATTTGAAATGGGCATGTGTGTTAATGATTTATGGCGGTTAGAGTCTTCGTAAGTGAGAAATAAGTGTCCGTTAATCCCTTCGTGAGTTTTCACTTGATATAATATATTACAGAATAGAAAATCTCATCAATGCTCAGGTAGGTGAATAATTAAAATTTTTCGCGGAAAGTTAAGGCGGTTTAACTTAAATTGATTATTCAATTTGAGGGATATCAATTTTGTAGATTACAAACACGTGGTGGCACGCGAACGCGGTGTCACAATAAGTTCTGAGTAATTTTTCTATATGCAGAATTTAATCTCCCTATGTTCAAATGTATCGCGAGAAAATTCCATAACGCGAGTTATATTGAAAGTTGGATGTGTGCGTCGAAGTACTCGTAGCGCTAGGAATTGTAGTTTTTTTGTGTTACATGCGAACGCGGTGTCACAATAACTTCGGAATAATTTTTCCAGATGCAGAATTTAATTTTGCATCTCCCTGTTTCGAAATTTATTGCAAGAAAATTCCATAACGCGAGTTATATTGAAAGTTGTGTGTGTGTGTGCGCCGTAGTACTCGTTGCGCTAGGAATTGTAGTTCTTTTAGTATAACACACGAACGCGATCTTAAACTTAGCTCACAATAATTTTCCTAGATGCGGAATTTAATTCTTTATTTCCCTGTATCAAAAATTATTGCGAGAAAATTCCATAACGCGAGTTATATTGATAGTTGGGTGTATACGCCTTGTAGTAGTACTCGTTGCGCTAGGAATTGTAGTTTTCTTGTTATAACTCGAGAACGCGGTCTCAAACTAAGTTCGGAATAATTTTTCCAGTTGCGGAATTTAATTCTTTATTTCCCTGTATCGAAATTTATTGCGAGAAGATTCCGTAACGCGAGTTATAATGATAGTTGTGTGTATACGCACTTGTACTGGTACTCGTTGCGCTAGGAATTGTAGTTTTCTTGTTATAACTCGCGAACGCGGTCTCAAACTTAGTTCGGAATAATTTTTTCAGATGCGGAATTTAATTCTTTATTTCCCTGTATCGAAATTTATTGCGAGAAAATTCCGTAACGCGAGTTATAATGATAGTTGTGTGTATACGCACTTGTGTACTCGTACTCGTACACTTGTACTCGTGTATGTTGGTTATTTCAACATTGTGAAATTTTAGTTTGGTCTTCTCAACTACGGGTTTACCACTACGTTTGTTATAAACAACTTTTTTGTTCGATTGACGCGTATTATCGCGACGTACCTGCCTTGTACCTGGCAACGCGCAGCGCACACGGCAGTCGTTACACCGCGTGGTCCGCAGTCGTTACACCGCGTGGTCCGCAGTCGTGTCCCTCTAATCGCCACGCGTTTTGAGGTTTTAATTGGATTAATCGACGTGTATTCTTTCGGCCATCATCAAAATATTAGGGACGGGCATGTGCGGCTGTTTTGTTTAATGATTTGTCGCGGTTAGAATCTTCTTAACTAAGAAATAAGTGTTTGTCAATTCCTACGCGAGTTTTTAGTTGGTAGAATATATTACAGGATATAGAATTTCCTCATCAATGCAAAGGTACGTGTGTAATAAATTTTTTTCACGGAAACTTAAGGCGGTGTAACTTAAGTTGATTATTCCATTTGAGTGATATTAATTTTGCTTGTATTATCTTGCAAATTACAAACACGTTGTTCCATTCCTATCAGAATTATTAGTCCCGTTTCCGAAAATAACATGCATGATTTAATTATTACCATGACGGTTTTAAAAATAATCTGTAGATTATTAAAATGACAATATTCATGTGGTCGATCGCGCTCAGTTTGCTGTCGGCCGTCGGCTCGGTCAACCTTTCGCTGAACACGTGAACGTTTTTAATCGAATTGCACTTGTTAGCATCATTAAATTAAGAAGTCCCTTGTTGACATAATAAAATCTTGTACGGTGAATAGTTCTTCGTTTTCGTAGTCTCCGTATATCTTAATATTTACAAAGAATTACTTAGTTATTTTTATCGTATTTTAAGACAGTAATGCCACGCGCCGTCGCTTGCCGTCTGTTGATTTAGATGTTTTCCACCGGATATTCTATCAATTTATGATGATATTTTACCCGTCGGTTTAATTAATTAATAAATATATATTTACAATATATTAAAATGTAATTGTTTTCTTTTCTAGCACCTTTTTGCTTAATTTCCCGATCATTTTCATGTGAAATCTTTTAATTTATATTAAAATAATGTTGTTTCCATATAAATTTCCCGTGTCATGATGTGAATATTGATTATCTTTGTAGTCTCGAAAATTTTCTTTTTGTAACACCCTGTATATTAGTTTTCCTAACCACACGTAGAAGATTGTCTTTATTTGTGAGTTTTGAATGTTCATTGTTTTGAACTTGGGATTTTCTTTCTGGTACACCCTGTATATTAGTTTTCTTTTGGGTCCGTGAAAATTTTGCTTCAATTGTTGTTTTTAGGATTTTCCATTTTGCACTTTTTAATTTTCTTTCTGGAACACCCTGTATATTCCAGAGTTTTTTGTTTGCACTTTTAATTTTCTTTCTGGAACACCCTGTATATTTATTTTCATTGTCAATAACATAGAAAATGAACTATTTGCTAATTTCATTATTCCGGTAGAACTGTACGTAGTGCTATTTGCTTATATGTGCGCGGCTTAGCAGGTCGTAAGTCCTGTTTCAATATGGCGACATGTATTCTGTTGACTGGCAAAGTCTAAACTTGTATTCTATTGTTAATAAAGAAATAGTAAGATATATTGACTTCTTTGATTTGTGTGTTCGCCTTCTATCATTTCAGGAACAGGTCTCTAAGAGAGTTCCCTCTCTCAGATGAATATGTTAAGGTAACCTGAGTGTACTTCTTTCATTTCAGCTCAGGTCAGAACTTGTAAGAATATTTTAAGTGTTCCTGCTGGGAGATCGACCTGTGACTGTCTTATAACGACACGTGCCAAAAATTTAAAAATCTGATCCTCCCTGTTCTCTTTCCTCTATCTCTTCCTCTTCTCTACTCTACTCTGTTCTCTGTTCTCTTCCTTCAATCTTCTCATATTCTTTACTACTCACTCCTTCTTCTATTTCTCTGTTCTCGTTTCTCCACTTACTTTCTTACTTCTCGTATTGCCTTCACTTGTATTTCAATTTCTCTTATATTTCATTGCAATTCATATATGCAACCCAAATTACACCTGATATTTTTATATTTGAGAAAAATGCCTTCCATACCTGAGATTCGATCCGTGTCTGCTAGCATGCCAGCAGGTGCACGTCTCCACTCGACCACAGAGTGTTTTTATCGTTAATATTTGATTCTTCTATTTATGTTTCTACTTTATTCAACTTTTTTAAAAACAACAACACAAGCCTTAGCTATGTTGCACTCACATAAACTTACTCTGAAATATGATTTAAGACGCATATCCTGAAAACGACAAAGAGGTTATCACAAAGAAGTATGAATAAGATTCTATTATTAAATTGAGTTTTATTAATTGCATTTAACAATACATTCTTCATTTTTTTTAATAAAACGAACGTACGTACGATTCAAGTTATATCCTACGTACTATCAAGTCACAACGCTCTCTTATCAAACGTTTCACCCAAAGTAGAACTGTTAGTAGAATTGATGTTACTACTCACGTGATTTATCCCCTCTAATTAACAATACCATTTTGGCCTATAAATCCAATTCGAATCCGTAGTCCAACGAAAGAGATCCGCCGGCCGGCGGCTGATGGCTTAAGTCTCGAGTCGATTTGAGATAAATCACGTGTTCAATAGTTGATAGCAATCGATGACTAAACGATTCTAAGGCTCGCACCGTATTAAAGTATCCCGAAATGCTAACAGTCGCGATGAAGACCGGCGGTGAAACAGAACACGTGCACACAGCACAATTGCGTAGCACCGACTGACTAATCAGGAAAGAACAATAGCTAACCCGACAGCGCAAAATGTACTGAGCAGTATAGCGAATTGTCACTTGAAGCCGGCGATAGACGGCGGCCAGTGCGGTTCTGTTCAAATTTCAAATGGCAGCGCACAGCGTGCTGCGCAAGCCAAGGTCGAATTGAAGGCATAAACAAAGTGTAGAAAATTCTGCGGAACATATAAAGAACATAGATTGAACATGATCAAAGTTTCATAAAAGTATCATCATCCTGGTATATTAATAAAACACAATCCATGTTAAATATAATCCATATACTATTCAAAATGACTAAATGTAAACCTATACTTCGTGATGTAAACAAACAGATACAAGTTATCGACATAACGACGTACGAAACGTACAATTTATCTAACAATACCTACACGTTCTACAGGTACATCTCCTACGACATTAGAATATAACGCAATGATGAATTAAATTTTACATCTTTAGGGACCTCGCTGATATTACGCGTTCATATGCTAAACCCCGAAAACCAGCAAAATCAGTGCTTCGAAATACAAAAAAGAATTTCTTTTCGCTAATTCATAAGTTGTTCATATAAATTATGTATGAAAATGATAAAGAAATTAATTACTTACCATCTGATGCAAGAATGATTATCCTACGATGTCAGACTCAGGTGCAATGTCCATAAAACCAGCAAAAATTAGCCCTTTGAACATATAAATGCAATTTTGGGGGTCAAATTGTGAGATAATCACAAAAGTTATTTAGGAAAATGATAAATAAATTAAATACTCACAATCTGATGCAAGAATGGTCATTTTACGATGCTAGACCCAGGTGCAATACCACTAAAACAAGCAAAAATTAATCCTTCGAACATAAAAATGCAATTTTGGAGGTCAATTTGTGAGATAATCGCAAAAGTTATTTCGGAAAATGATAATGAAATTAAATACTTACAATCTCATGCAAGAATGGTCCTTCTACGATGTCAGACTTAGGTGTAAACTCCCTATAAGTGCAGATTGATGACCCGCTTCCACATCCACCTGAGGTGAAAACAAAACTTCATTAGCATAATAACGAACCAGAAGTAATACAAAAGCGAAGTATTGCTGAAGTTTAGAGGTGTTTTTAGAGTAGTTTAAGTTGTATTTCTTATTTACCTCTTCTAAGGCTCATTCAACACAAACATTTTTGTAAAGGTTACTCACACTTTATATGTATGTAGGTCAGTAAAATACAACTTATTTCCATTTCAGTGCTACAGTGATACATTTATAACACTAGACATCGTAAAATTGAAATTAATAATTATATAAGTTATTACATTAATTTAATAAAAACAAATGTAAAACTTTATATATTTATGTTTTATGTAATATATTTTATGTATAATTGTGTCGATTGTGTCAACCTACACCGAGGCTTAGTTAACACACATGTTGTTTGTAAAGCATATTTTACACTTTATAAACACGTTAATATGTCAGTAAACTTATACTTATTTCCATTTCAGTGTTAGTGTTATAATTGCAACACTACAGCTGGCAAAAGAAAAATAAATAAATACCTCTTGGCCTGTCAATATTTGATAGAATCATTGAAATCGTTCAAGAAGCATGCGGCTCACAGCTGGTCAAAGATATCCATAAGGTCTCGTTAAAAAGTTTAACCCAAAAAAATAATAATTTAAAGATAAGATAATAAAATTTGGAAAATAAGATGGAAAATAATTAATAACAAAAAAATATTGCTGCATCATGCTCTTTGAATAATTTCGGTAACAAATATCATCTAAACTAAAAGCGCTAGCAGCCAAAAGATTCAACATTATAAAAATTTGGAAAATTCTTTATAAGATAAGACAAGAAAATAAGTAAAATTCAGGGTGTAAAAGTTCAGAAATCGTATTCCAATTAATAATTTAATGAATACACAGGACAAAACCACTAGGAATTCTTAGCCCACGGAAGATATCCGCCGGCCGACGGGAAATACCTGCGTATTTTACAATTCCGGACGCACGATATCTCAATAACTATACGCCGCACTTGTCTGGTAATTCAAATTCTTTTTTTGCTGGCCGAATCTAATTCAACTACCGACTTAAAATCACAAGAAATGCGATAAATCATCACGAAAATCGCCGCTCAACTAGACGCGTTCACACCACGCCGCAGCACACGATCGACTAAGTAAGAAATAGAACAAACACTGCTGAGCGCGCCGGACGAGCAGCAACGCAATAAAAAAAAAACAAGTTGTTTGTACACAAACACCGATAAGAGTCAAGAATGAGAACTATGAACAATTCATGTTGTGGATGCAGTCCAATGCAATGAAAAGATGGTGGACGTTCTCTCTTATTCGTATAAACAACATACGAAGGTACCGGTAGAAGTGACTCCCATTCATGCCCCCGAACGAAGGTAGCGATAGAAGTGACTTAGCGGAACTTAAGGAATCTTTGTATCATTATGTATTCAATCAAATGATAAGATAAATTCATATTCCACACTGGTTTCAACATTACAAAGCATGCGGTATTACAGTTAGATAATTAAATTACCTTCGTATTGATAATAATTTAATCGGCGGGCTTTCTATCTCACGTTCAGAGCACTCACTTAATTACCACACACGGTTACAAGCCAGTTTTCTTTCGTTCAATATGGGGTGCTGGAACACATCGCGAGCAGAACAAGACTGACTAAAGTCAACATGCGCTCAGTGAGTGCAGCGCAATCTGCGCATGGCGCGATATTCAAATTCATACCCTCGAAGCATTAATTTACATATGTGAATGTTACATTACAATTTCAGTACATAATTGCTAAATCCGTCATTTTATAATACTTGCACTTATAAATATTATAATTAAAACGAACGTTGTCGAATTTTCAAACCCTCAGATTTTTACAATTATTATCTTAAAGCAATCAGATTTCTTTCTAATTCTCGCAATTTTCCCTTTAGGGCAGCACATAATTTGGTTTAATGCCGTCATTACTAAGTAACATATAATACCGTTTATAAATCGACATTTTTCAAATTGGAGGAAGAAAAATTTGGTATATGTTCATTCTTCGGCGGTACAAAGACACCTATCGGTTTGATCGCATCGCGCTTATCCTTCAACTTGCCCAACTCTAACTTAAGCTTATTCAAAATTGCAAAATTCGGCGAATTCACCGCCGCCTTGCTCTGTAACAAGGTAATTTCTTGTTCCTCGAGCTTCTTCTCCTTGAAGGTTTTGATCGATCGATTTCCGTACAATCTAAGAATACTACCCCAATTATTGATATGAGGATGCAGTGCTTGTAGAATACTTTGTGACGCACGTTGCTTTCCATCTCGTTTATTCTTGCAGATTACTGTGGCAGTGTGTTTACCGACAGTCATAGTAAACTCGTTCTTTTGATGCTTTAGGGTTTGACCCTGATAATTGATTTCCAAATCGCCCACGCCAAAATTCCGCTGAAGACAGGTGAGAAGAATGTCATGCGGTGATGGTTCGGTGGTTTTCGCACAGAATTCAGCTACACGCGGATCTTCAATCCGGATTTCGTCGAAAAACTGTTGTAAAAATAAATAAAAACCAATTAATTCCACTGCATTTTGAAAAATTTTTACTACTCACTGATAAATCTTGATCTTGAGATTTCGAAGTACTCGCCCCGCCTGTTTTAGCATCCGTAAGAATCTTAAACCTCATTTCTGGAATAAGAATTTCGAGGGTAGCTTTAGCCGCTTCCGATTTAGCCTGCTTTTTACTCGTCCCATAACCAACACCATACTGCATTTCGTTAATAGATACTATTGCTGCATATGGCATTGCAGCATTTTCCAATTCGTTGAATTTATACGTGGGCTGTTTTTTCAGCGCATGCTGCACATATTCATGCAGAATACAAACGTATGACTTTCCGTTGGGGTTCATTATCCATTCTTTTTTCGTTGCGCCCGGCTCACCATCATTGTCTTGTATCGGAAATGTTATCAGCTTTGTTCCTATTAAAATAATAAAAAACAATCACACTGTCATCAACAATTTTAAAATCTAATTTTACCATCAGGTAAAGTTGGTCGTTGTAATTGTTTCTCTTGTTTCTTTTTCTTGCTGAATTGTCGCCTCTCACTCCACGATTTAAAACGCGTTACTTTAATCGTACGGAATTGGAAAAGTTTCTCACAATACGCTCGAACCTGTTCCGGATTCAAATTATTCCATTTGTTATTCTCGCTGACGGTTTCAATCTTCGCGTTGGGGAGTTCCTGTGCGGCTTTGTCCTTTTTTGCGGCTTGTTCATCCTCCAGAGCACGTTTGTAATTTAAACAAGGTATGGCACTTATTGGTAAGTCGTGTTTCTGCAAATAAACACAATGTATTCATATAAATGTAGGTAAATAGATTTTCAAATCAGTAATAATTACCCTGGCACTGCCCGGACCCAAAAAATACGGTTTCGATAAGGTGCACACGCGTGATTGTTGATGTAAGTAAATATTCATGCCACTGTTGTGTGTTACTTTTACCCACCCCTCTGGGAGAATGTCAAAATGATTACTTCCTTTGTCTATAAGGACGGTTTTTTCTTTTTCATTGTATGGTGCAGGTGCTTCATCTAATAGTAAAATAAATAATTATTTTTAGTTTATAATAACAAATCTAAATTAAATTGTAAGATTTTATAGCTACCTAAACCAGCTTCATTTGCTTTCCTTTTCTTTGTAAGTGCATCCTCCAACATTTGTTCAATTTCATCATCAGGCACATCCATATCAGAAGAATCACAATCTTCATTGTCAGATTCATTCTCAATTTCATCCAGAACATGGAATGAATTAAGATTAACTGCATGTCCATTTTGATTACCACCCATTGCAAATGAAGAACTGTCCTCTTCAGTTTTCATAGAACCATAGCTCTCTTCACTGACTGGTGAATGTAACACATTCTTCTTGATCCCATTGCTAACCACCTCTGGTAATGAATCATCTTCATTATCTTGTGGTGGTGGAGGTTTAACCACCTCATCAGGTAAAGGTGCAGCTGGTAATGGAGGATTTATCCCATTTTTAAATGGGCAACCAGCTGGTTCAGCACCAGTGTTATTGGTAGCAAAGTTTTTATTAAACTCCTCCATAAATTGTTCCATTATTGCACAACACAACTATATCCAACCGCAATTCAGTTCACTTCAGTCGCGCAGTTGCATAAATATCTGCTGCAATGTGGTAGTTTCTCCACGGCAAATCTGTAAATTAGCATTTCAATTGAACATGTGTGGGAGCCACAATTGAAATGCTCTTTTAGAAATAGCCGTAAAAAAACCGACGGTTTTTCAGTCGATGTAACTACAACACTACCAAAAACCAAAGAATCTCGACAACGTACTAACGAGTAGTTATCGTCAACGCGGTGTTAGGTATATGGATGTAAATAATGCTGAGTTATCGTTACAACCGAACTCACCACTCCTTATAACTTACAGCCATTTGCTAGGAGGTTATTGTCACAATCGATAACATTGTTACGGTTTTACTTCACTTTACACTTTGAGGAACTTCATAGAAGTAAAATTTGATTTATTTGTTATTTAAAATTCAGATTATGTGAGGCCGAAGTTGGAGAGCACTACCGATCGGCAACAAGACTCGATGCAGGGCAGTAAAACAATGGCTGCAAAGTTGTCATTGTCCACTATATACTACTGATCGGGAACTCTCGTTGAGCAAACAGCGTCGATCGGCTCAATGAATTCTAACGCTACCTTCACACATGTTAAAACCAGAACAACGTTCCAGAACAAATTATTAGAAAGAAACATATTTTCAATATTTTTTATCTGAATCAATTTTTATAAAATTAGTACATTCATGAAATTATCTTCTTTACATAATATACATCAATTATATATCAGATATTTATCGCCTTGGTCTCTATTAAACTTTAAGAACTAATTAAACGCTAGACTATTTAGCCGGGAACAGAAGTTATCTATACAACATACAATTATCTTTTATAAATAGTTTAAAATAGAATTAATTAAATCTAAAATTTCGTCACTTGAAATGTTAGTATCGCCTGTTTTCGCAACAATCGACGATATTTACGATATTCTCTTTAAGAATACTTAATGATTATTAACATTTGCAACGTTCTCTTAAACGTTCGATGTTAAGTCCCGTTAACGAAACAGTGAGTGTGAATGCCATCGATAAGTACGCGCAAATAAGACACAGATAATCGAAAATTCAACATGCGCCGTCACTTACATATCATAAATTACAGTATTATCAATATGGAATAGCTAAATTTCTATAAATCTGTCGCGACGTATCGCGCAATCAATTAATAATCTCTTAATATATACATATGTACAATTGTCGCTTAACTTAGTACAGTATCACTATAAATATAACTCTGTTCTACATTTCGACGATTGCATTTGCCAATGAAGTCGCAATAGTTTCCATTCGACGTCGAGATGTAAAACAGTTACAACTTTACAGATTTTCTTTACGTTTCATAGAACTTCTTTCTTTCTCCGGCAAAAATTATAATAAACTACAATAGTTTACATGTATATCAGGAACAAATTATAAATAAATACATACGCAAAAACATAAAATACTATAAAAAATCAAAAAACAAAAATATTTACACCAATCATCGCGTTCAACATTCATCATGATTGCCGTATTTTAATTAAATAAGTTGGTTCCTGCATTTATGTGCTCTCTCCACAAGTTTAAGTTCAACAGAAATGCATGAACCTTGCAAAAATAGTAGAACTATAGAGATTTGCTAACAAAATTGCGCAGGAAAGAAAAACAAACTCAAGTATTAAATAATATCACACTAAAGAGACAAACCGATCGTGATTTGTGACGTCCATCAGATATATCAGATACATCGATAAATACATACATAATCTTGTCGTCATTTAATTTTCTTTCATCATATCATCACGAGATCATAAATAGCTTGCTTACAGCTTGCAGCTAGCACTTATCAAAATATTCTGGCGAGAAAGTGACATTCTAAAATGTGAGGAAGAAAATATTGTGTCACATTATCGATATTATCGGTTCGGCTCGACTACACATTGCCTCGATTTACATTGTTTAGATTTGCCTAACATTGGCTTGACATTACTTTACTATTTATTACACTGGCCCCTCCGTGAGCGGTGCTACTCTAGCAAATTTAAACTAGCACCGTGAGCACATCCGCGCTTGCACTGCCGCAACCGTGCGTATGTTGCGACGATGTCCGTGGTTTGTTCACATTGATCACACTCTTACTGAAGTCCTTGTGGCCGGAAGAGTCATCAAAGGCGGCTGTGTTTTTCCGTACGTCAGGATTCTGCGCCTTGTAGAGCATGATCTGACTGCTGCGATGCGCCGGTTTAAGGCCGTCATGGAAGGCAATGTCGTTGATCTTCAGTGAGTGCTCTGAGCTGGTGCCGGGTGCGACGAGCATTCCCTTGCGTGATCCAGCGCACTCCGTTTCAGAGATCATCTCGAGCATCTCACTGGATGATTCATGCGGCAGTATTGAAGAAATTGGCCGCACTACACTTACTTTAGGCATATCCAGCCCACAACCCGCCACAGTGTTGATGCTGGCTAGACTACCAACATCGTCCTTTAGAGGATTCGCATATCTTCGAAGGTTTTCTTCATTCTGTAGATTATTCTTCTCATCTTCATGATTCCTATGGCAAGATTCCGAGCTTGGTGATAAATTCATTCCACTAAGGCCCAAATTGCGTCTGCGTTGACGCAAAAAGTATAGAACTGAAAGCCCAGCAGCGCAGAGAAGAATGATCAGGAAGAAAACTAACGTTATTAGGTATTTATTGCTGGATGGTTCTTCAGATACCAAAGCAGTCTCAACTTTAACTTCTACTATAGACGTGAGAGCTAATAACGAAGTTTGCTTGCGTGAAATTGCTTCCCCAAGGATACGAATTCCATCGATAACACCATCATTTCCACTTAAAGTAACTTCAACTGAATCGTTATACTCCAGCTTTAAGTCGCAAAGCAAAACTAAATCGTTGAGAGAATCATTGGCAAGTTCATAATTCGCCAATAAACGCCGAAGATCATTGCAGAGTCCTTCAACAGTTACACCTCTAGGTAGCTTACTCCTATCCACCAAGAGAGTAAGACGAGCGCATGTGTTACTCAAAATTGCTTGATTAGGCCAACAGGAACTCGGCGCAGGAAGTGAAGGAGGTTTCACACGTCGCCCACTTTCCAAATCACGACATTCGCCATATGGATGGCACGGTGGTGTGAGACAAGTTTCCGTCATCGGTACGCAAACTTGATTGTTATTACAAAGATAGTTAGGGTTGTTGTGCCCAGCGCGGCAATTACCCAGCCCACACCAGATGCGCGTGCATTTTACAGCTCCGTTGATGCAAACACACGTGTTGCACTCGTGCTGCCATGTTGAGTTGTTCTCCAGAAAATGGCCCTGCCAGTTGCAGCTTCCCGGAAGTGGTAGGTACGAGATATCATCAACTAAAATAAGAAATAAAATAAAAATTAATAAACGGTAATATGATAAAAAAAAAGTTTTGTAAAACATACATTGACAACGTTTACCACGTTTTCCAGGGGGGCAGATACATTGAAAATCTGCAATACCATCCACACACGTTGCACCATACCCGCAAGGATTAGAGGCGCAATCGTTGACGTTGATTCGGCAATCAGGACCAGTGAAACCATTGACGCACTGACACCAGAACCAGTTGACTCCATCGATGCATTTTCCGCCATTGTAACAAGGTTGTGGATTGCAATCGTTGACGTCTTCCTGACAATGGTTACCTTCAAATCCTTCTCGACACAAACACTGATAATAATCGCCATTGTTGACGCAAGTACCACCATTGAGACAAGGATTTGAACGACACGCGGTTCTCTTGGATAGGTGGCATGTTGTTCCGTCAAAGCCAGCAGGGCATCGACATACAAAGGTGTTGCCTAAATCTTGGCACGTGCCACCATTTTTGCACGTAGAATGATCGCAATGGCTGTCTTTCAATTGACACGTTTTACCTTTCCATCCATTACGGCAGTCGCATTGGAAGTCAGCCACTTTGTCAATACAAGTTCCATTGTTATGGCAAGGAGTTGCACTGCATTCGTCTGTATCTATAATAATTTATTATTTTTGTTAATTGTTAATCCTTTGATTATTGTTTTTAATTTTTAACGCGTTTAAATAATTAAGATATTAGTTAACTTACTTATATTGCACAGAGCTCCCTCCCAGCCATCTTTACAAATACATTGAAAGTCGTTGATTTTGTCAATACAAGTGCCGCCATTTTCGCAAGGATTCGCCTTGCAGTCATTAATATCTAATAAAAAAAGAAAATTCAATAAAATAATTATGATTTACTCTAGAATAAATCAAATCACACATATTCTAAAATGATTACTCACTCTCATGACAGTATTTCCCTGTATAGCCCGGTTTACAGGAACACCGGTACCCGAAGCCTAGATGATTGACGCACTGGCCATGTTCCCCGCACATGTCAACGTCAGAGAGTCGGCCGCCAACCAGTGACGACAACATACAGTCGAATCCTGCAAATGCACCAAAAATTTAGGAATTTCAACAACGAACGCAGAAGTACGGTGCGGTAATGTTCCGACACGCACACACAGGTTTGCGGTAACGTTTTCTCCGTTTGCTCGGTTCTTCACGTGGGCTCTATTTCGAGGCGCAGCGGGACGCGTCCGCAAGGGACCGCCAACCGCGCGCCGGCATCGCGAGGAAGACCAAGAAATTGCCTGTCAACCGGCGCGTCACGGCGGTCGCGAATGTGCGTTCAGCACGAGTAATTCCAAAATTTATTTCGTTTTTAACGAAGAGCTTAACGAATCCTACTAACACTCCACAACGCCGCCTAGCGGCCATGCAAAACAACCCAAACCGGAAATCCACATACTACTGTACTTACCATCGTCGCATGGTGGATTATCGCAGACAATCCGCGGTGTACTGCAGTTCTTTCCCTGCCAGCGCTCGTGGCAATGGCAGTAGTAATCGCTTTGTGTGTTAAGGCACGGGGCGTCGTTATCGCAAGGATTGGGGCTGCAGTGGTCATGGTCGTTCTGCACAACAAGTAAACCCATGTAACATTGTACTACATGCAGCAAGCATGTAGAAGACAATAAACAATAAAATAATGAAGAGATGAATGCGATGATTGTGGCGCGCCGTGCGCTTGTGTATCATTATGATGATGAAGCTGCGCGCACGCTGCTTCTTATAAATTGTCCCTGCAGGCTGACCACGCAGTCGTTTAGACGTTTAAACACAAGCGCCAACGCGTAAAACGTAAACGCCGCCTTCAGCCTCAAGGAAATCACTAAACACCCAGTCATTATAGATAATTCAGGTGGTTTCTCTTCGGTGTAATCTTGGCACCTCGTTGACAATCATCGCCTTCATGCGGTAAAAAAAACACCGAAATGACATTATCCAATCATTCTGGACTTCTGAACTTCATTAAAAATAAATTCAGCTTTTTCTTAACACGAAACTTTTTCTTACCTCGCATTCGTGGCCGGTGAATCCCACGGGACAGATGCATCGAAAGGCGTTGACTTGATCATCGCATTCGCCGCCATTTTTGCACGGATTCGAGGCACAATCGTCGATGTCCGTGGCGCAGTCGCGGCCTACAAAAATTAATTGCGTTATATTTTTCGCCGGTCCTCAGCCCGACCGCCGCATTAAATCTGCATGCGTCGTGGCATAAGCCGGCAGCGACCAAGTCGCGATAGGGTCGCGCTCCGCTTTTGCTTTATCGCATCATTCACACGTCGGCGCGGCGATTTTAATGACACATTCACTTATTCCGCCTCGCGCGTTTCGCACGAAGTGTTTCGGCAGATGCGATCAATGTTTATTTGCTCGCCGCGCGGAGGCAAAACGAGTGTGGTGCCCCCAGTGGGAGAGATAGATCCGAATCAAAGGGTCGTAAAATATCATCTCGCGAGCGATTGCTATCCAAATTTTTTACATTTGCGTGCGCGTTCAATTTCAGAGGCGCGCGAAGCCGATGCCGCCGGGATAAGTGATTTTTGCGCGGCTTTTATTGGCATCCGGAGATAAAATGGTACCAAAAATTAAATAAAAAATTGTACCTGTATATCCAGGTGGGCAGGCGCAATGATAGTCGTTGACGAGATCGATGCACGTCGCGCCGTGCTGGCACTGGCCGACGCAATCGTTGATGTTCTGATTGCAATTGTGGCCGGCCCAACCAACGCGACACTGGCAGTGATAATCGCCGACGCGATTAGTGCACGCCACTGCGTTGATGCACGGATCCAGCAGACACTCGTTGGCGTCTGAACATTAATCATGCAACAAACACAACCAAATTAATATCAAACAATAACAAAAAACCAGATTTTTGCGAGTTACTTGAGTTTGACAACCCCAATTTGTAAATCAAACAAAACAAGCAGAAAACAAGACAAAACCAGTGAAAACAAACTCGCATTAAATCAGGAATGCACGTGCAAAACGGCAAGAAACAAGAAAGCGCCATTGTGGCTTTTATTAACTTACCAAATTGGCACAGGTTGCCCTCCCATGCAGGAGAACAGTCGCACCTGAAGGCATCCTCGAGATTAATGCAGGTACCGCCATTCTGGCACGGAGACGAGGCGCATTCATCAATATCTGCGAAGGCAAACAAAGAGCATGATTTTTTGCGTTAATATCGCCATCGACGTGGCCGCAACGGAGCGCTACTGCCGCGAGACGTGCATACTCCGACGCGCAGTCACCGGTTAATTAATAAAGACTTGATTGACGGCGATCCCTCTGCGACTCGGACTCTTTCTTTGTACTGCAGGATATCTCCGAGTATATCGTCCGATCGCTGAAAGATCTGGTATGTCCATAATCCCGAGCGCATTCGTAACGCACCCTACCGTGTGTTTCAAACATATTTAACACCATTATAAAATCAAAAGATACAGCGTATAATTACTTAGCCATAGTTCTTTACACGGTATTCAAAGTTCGGTGGAGAGGATGTAAAAAAAAGCATTAGGTTCAGTTCATTCATTTTCTGGTATAATTGTCATTCCAAATGAGGCACAATAAATTCCCCAAGCTGACAAGTCTCCCGGTACAGCTTGCTTTCGGACATTTAGATAAACATCTCGCTAGTAAAACGCAAGCTGACGGGAGAACGACAAGACGCACTAAACCGTGTTGCTCTCGTAAAGGTACAACGCGCATTTCCTATCCATATTTTCTATAACGAAATTAAATGTTATCGAAATGTTTTAACTTTCACCTGTTGCGCGTATACGCGTACCGTACGCAAATAGTTCGCAATCGATTATACTGCGTGCACAACGTGCACGGCGCAAATAAATGGTGCACACGTACAATTTGGCGACATGTAATCATGCTGCGCATGCGGGAAGCGCACGTCACGCGCGCCCCCAACGGATCGACATTTTATGGCGTCATTTAACAAATAACTCCGGGCGCACCGAGCTAAACTTTGGTCTCTCTTAACTCCATGACACTTCCCTCGCGTTTGACTTTACAAAAGCAGCGCGCGCGTGTGTGGCATTAGTAAAATAATCACGTGCATGAAACGAGAAGGCTGTAAAATGTAAACGCGCGTGAGCGCGCGCGCTTCGAAAAAGTCACAAAATGGAAGACACGACGTCCGTACATGCGACAAACGCACCGAGCTTTCTAAATGTTCGAATAAATAAAGACACAAATCAAATAAAAATCCAAGGCATACAGTGTGAAAATCACAGCGGCGAAAAATCACATCTGTCACAATCACAAATGTATCCCGCTGACTTGTTGATAGAATGGAAGACAAAATGTATATTTGGTAAAACAAATGTTTTGTGTGTGTATGCGAAGAGTTTATGGCGTTTCCCACGAGTGGCTTATGCATCAAGTGTTCTGTGTGCCAACTACGTAACAAAATAATCCAAAATTTCAAAAATCCGAATGCAATAAATTAAGTTTTCACAACTTTTTATTCGCACCGCGTGTGTGCGACTTAAGGGCAAACGGTAAAACGCGCCGCGCCGCATCGATCATGATTCGATCACGCGCATGCATCGCACGCAGTCGTCCTGCGCAGCCCGCCGCTGCCACAAAGTGATAATCCAGTTCGTACGTGTTCATCTCATTCAGCGGCGCGCGAGCGCGTGTAAATAAATTACCGAAACGTTCCGTTGCGCCAAAGCTAATTTATTAACGATCAATTGCGTGCGCGGCGCGCAGCGTGCACGAACGTTTTAATAAATCGATCCGCGCCGCATCGGGCTGCGCGAGCGCATTATCACTCCGCATGCGCGAAGAGCGCAAAAGTAATGCCTTCAAATTACCAGATTACACGCTGGGAACGTATAAATGTTCCATTTTCAGCTGCACAAAGCGCAAGAAATTTGCAAACATTTTTCCCCAGGTTGTGATTAATAGACGCAAACAATTAAAAATTTGTCATTCTGCGTCTTAGAGCAACGCAAGCCACGAACGAACACAGCAACGTGCGCTGTATGATTCTTGCATAGTATAGGCGGAGAGAGAAAAAATCGAGTCTGCTTCGGACCGAGAGCACTAAGTTGCAAGCGATGTGAGAGGTAACTTCGTGTCGGATAAGGTGGCAGGAGAGGAATGCGAGGTCAGAGGTGAAGAGCAACTCCGCGAGTTGAAAAGCGCTCCACGAAGAGCGCGTACCACACCACGCACGCTCCTATAACATGCCGGATGCAAAATCTCAAAAAATCAAAAATTAACTTAATTAATAAAAAAATATCTCACGCAACATTATATCTAATAGGCGATAAAATTAATTAAAATTTATTTTTGTAATCTAAACACGCTGTATGTGAGGAAAGGATTAACGAAGAAGGCAAAGTGCGCGGCGCAATAATTAAGTCTCCCCGATGCACTTTGGGTGAGAGAGTCTAGTCGAGCAAATAGATATAATAACGGGGGGGCTGCTGCAGCGCTTACTTAAGTCGTGCGCAGAGCGCGGCTTGCGAGGGGGGGACGATCGACGGTAATTGCTAGGTAAAGCCGCTGATTTATACCGAACGAAACACACAACCCGAACACGCCGACCGAAGAAGAGCTGCCTTCTATTTTTATTTACGCTCGCTATTAATTTCTCGATGACGCCGCCCCCCAATAATCGGCGACGTTGCGTACGCAGCGAGATCAGTAAGCAACCGACGACGGAGCAGCAACCAGGATATGCGCACATTCAAAGATAATCAATGAAATATTTGTTATAAAGTTTTCCTACTCTTGCCTGCGCATCAAGAAGCCAACCCTCTTGTGCGCATTCGTGTATTTGAAATTAATTAAGTTTTAATCAGGAACGATGCGCGCCGCGATCACGACCGTTGGCCGCAGCGTTCGCTATCGATCGCAATTAAGATTTTACGTAACTTCATAATTAATCGTTCGTTTTTCAGGTTCCAGAGCGCACAGAAAAGTGAGCATTTGTTGGAATGGCTCCAACTTTGACTCGCTTTTAATTAAAAAAAAAAAAGCCAAGCGTGTGTTGTTAATAACATGAAACCCGGTAACAAGCAGACAGGCAACACGCACAAAAAGCTAACATCTTTCTTGCGCACTGGTTAAAATCACAATACACACTGTAAATATACTCGTGTAATTATACGCAGAGTCTGGAATTTTAATTGTAAAATGGTAAAAATGCAATGCCACATTTGTGCCGTTAGATTAACGCACTTGGGAGACGAATAAAACCCGAAGGACAATAATTAGGTGCGTATTTTAATTAATCCCGAGTAGCGCGTTAAGCGTCCGCAGGTGGTCAGACAAAGAAATACCGCAGATGCTTACCTATCTCGCACGTGGGTCCCGTCCATCCAGGCACGCATTCGCACGTGAAGCTGCCAGCCGCCTCCAAACATGTACCACCATGTTGACACGGCGCAGGCGCGCAAGGGTTGTCCACCACCTCACAATTGGTTCCAGAGAATCCCTCGGGACATGTGCAGCGGTAATTATCAGGGGCGGTATTTTCGCATGTTCCGCCATTTTGACACGGTTCACGTGTCCCGCATGAATTTAAATCTGAAACCAAAAAATATTAACAATTAATTTTACATGAATTATCTGACAATTAAACAACCGTAAGATGTTAAGATCTGCAATTGTTTCTCTCTATGAAGATAAACGCGCTGGGCTTTCGTGCTTTCAATTTTAATTGTTTGCTTTCGAACGTGTGTTGAGTGCTGGAGAATACAAGAGGCGCACAGGGGGACAGCTGTCAAGGAAAATATTAAGTAGTACGAACCGAGTGTGTTTGTGCGCACGCCGTACGAGAATCGAGGATGGATGTAAGCAAAATACCGTGGGATCTTCTTACAGGTGCGCGAGCGCTTACTAAACACGGAGAGGACCTCAAAAACGCACACCGGACCCGGCTGTGTGCTGCTGCTGCTGCTCTCGCGGTGCGGACGCGGCGATGCATCATTTTCATCATCATGCATCATCATACGTGCACGACACCTGAGATGAAGAGCTTCGTTTCGTGCTTTTCACGTTCATTCACACACGTTTCTAGATTTTGGCACTTTCAACGCATTACATAACACATTTCATCTCATCGCATATCAAAATTTAAATTTTCATTACTAAAATCATAGATTTTTCAAATTTAACCAGGTAACCAACATTTAATATCTCCGGCCGTTATTCTACGCACATGTTCAAAGAGACTAATGAAGCGTTGTTATGTTGTTGCGTTGTTGGTAACTGTGACTCTGCTGGCGCGACAATAAAAAGCGACGACATTAATTTATAATGTAAGTACCTCCTTTCTTCGTTTGCATTCGTTTTATTATGTGTTCTTAGTTCCAGCGAGGTGCTGTTCACAAAGGTGGCTTTATGTTAATAAATAAAATTAATTTCCGACGATGTACTTTCATACAACATTTCCTCGTTTGTCAGAAGCAAATGCATCCACTCGAGAACAGTTATTACTTAATTGGTTGCATAAGAGTAATTATTATTTATTTTTTGTTGGAATTAATTTTGGGCGCAACCAGAAGCTACAAAATGTGTCAAAAGTGGTTGTTTAACCCTCTTGAATGCATGATGGTATAAAATAAAACCTGAGCTATTCGAGTTTCCCATAGATATCAAACTATTCCTAAAAACGGAAGCATTATCGAAGAACACACAAAAAAAGAACTTCAGAAGCTTAAGTAGCACTCGAATGGGAGGCTTTAAAGCCGCTTTACGATGCAGCTTCACGACGCTTCCAGCCATACAACTATAATATCTTTAATCATTTTAGCGTTTTTTTTTTGACTCGAGCCCCTTTTGTAGCCGCTGGTATGTAATGTGATTATATCACGTTTGCGTTAAAACATAAATTCGTAATTTATGCGCAATTCGTTAACGTTCGACGGCGTGTGCAAAATTGGAAAACTCGCGGATTTTTTGTCAGCCCGCCTAGGTTCACAAACTTTTCCTAACGAAAAGATTAACACACACGTGGAACGTGTTTCGTGGCGCAAACATTAACGGCCATTAGTCCTTGGCTGGCCGTACACGCTGCTGGCGTACAAATAAAACGCGCTTTTATGGTTTCGATAAATTTATAGTTTTGCGCGTGGCGCGCGCGCGGCCCGGCGAAAGCTCACGTTATCGTCGCGACACGATAAACACAAAATAAGAAAAACGCAGCGCATCACACCACAAGCGTTAGGTAATTCACAGCGCTAATTGAAATTAATTTTGAATAATTTGTTGCGTGTTAATGCCATCGTTGGCATTCGCATTAAAATTAAATATTCATAGCACAATTTTAATGTTTCCTGAGGTGTAGGTTTCTTCTTCGGGGAAATCTACACGCATAGGAGTTAGAGAAGTGATTATATGGAAATAATAAATCGTGAATATTAACGTTAAAAAAACATTACACCCCAATGACATGACGCATTGCCCCTACGACTTAATTTAGTGGCGAGTCGTGCTTGAATGCGCCGGTGACACTACGTGCCGTACAAAAATAGCCAACTGTACTCGTATAATATCTAAAAAAACATGCGAATTCAACAGATGGATTAATGAAATTAATATGCGTGACCATGCAAGCACGCACTTGCCCAAATGTTCAATTTCCCTTCGCAATGAACGATTGAGACATTAAATACATAAAAAAAAACTGCTAGAATTGATTCAATTGTAATTCAGGCCACTCTAGGGGATGCGTTACATTAAACTGCGTTAAAATAAAAAAGTGGTCTATTGTGTTTATTTTGGGGTAACGTTGAGGTCGGATACGGGTAATAAACATGGGGCGCATTAAGTGTAGTGTACTTGATCGTATGTGTCGCGGATATACGATGACTAATTCAACCCTTTCGGTTTAGTTATTTTGATGTCGGTAAAAAACGATCGGAAATGTAACATGTGCGTTAAATATGGTGTAATTCGCTTCGCGCACAAGTGTGTCGCGCGTCGCAAGTGTCGAGTGTGGGTTAATTTAATTCCTATTGTTGTGTGAAACTTACCCTGATCGCAGAGGATGCCACCCCAATTGGTATCACAAATGCACTGCCATGAGGAACCGTTGCAGTAGCCGTGCTTACATCCCGGATACGGTTCACATTGATCGCAGAATTCGCCACGCCATCCAATTCGACAACTGGGAAAAAATTAAAAATTTTAGTAAAGAAAAAATAAAAATATTGAATAATTGTAATTTGGGTTGCATAATTCTTTGATTCCTAAAAGAAAATTACTAGATTTATGCCCGGCTAGCACCGAAAATTACGTGTTTGCTTTCATATGCACATCGAATGCGTTTATTTATTGTATGTGCGTCGTCTCTCATATGTTGGCCGGTTTTTTTCTCGATTCCATCCGTCGTGTGCTGCTAGCCTGTGGCTGCTTGGGTGGCTGCCACCGCGCCGGATCGCGGATGAGATTCTCCACGATCGTGACTCGATGTATGCCGGCCAGGTTCACCACACAGCCGTCCGGTGTCAGCCATTGGTCGCTGCAAACAAACGGCCCAAACGACCGCCGGACGAAGGCAGCAATTTTTGCTCCTCGATAACAGCGCACAAATCAAATTAAGCGCAATTATTCCTCGACGCGACGCCATATTCAAAAGGAAACGGCGAAACAGTAACAACACGTCACACCACGCACCGAACAACTGCTCTCCCGGCTGCTTTCTTTTCACAGCTTTTTGTGTTTTGTATCGCGGTGGCTGAATAGCTGCAGGTATAATTTACTAGGGTGCGCAATTCCGGCTTTTTATGCTACTATTTCGTAATATTGTCTTACAGAAAACTGTAAATATGCATGCGGTTAATTTTTCTTGTGATACAAAAGACTTTCGACGAAAAAGAAACAAAAAATGCTAAACCCACTTTACATTTTACAATTACCGACATATTGAATATATTTTTAAAAAGATTTTAAGGAAGAAGATGAATACTTACTTGCATTCCCATGGATTGTCGCACTTTCCATGCTCTGAATGGCATCCATCTTTACATTTAGCTGTAACAAAAGAAATAAAAAAAAATATATAATAAATATTTATTGAAAAAAGAAGAAAGCAAAAAAAATTTTTTCAAAAAATTTTATTTTAATTGAATCACGATGTTTTTTAATTATGCGAAAAATTGAACAATGAAAGTCTTAAACTCAGCATCCAAACGTGCTGAGAAAATGGCGTGTTTACAGCCATTTCAACTCGTTGCACCGCCGCTTAATTGTCATTAACCGAACGTCCCTCCTTAGAGAGTTTCCACGTTGTTGTTGAGCTGTTATTTGGCGCTGTTGCACTCGTCGATCACGAAATGCAAAAGCTTAATAAAAGCGCGCAGTTGTTAAGTTAACAGCATGGCGCGCTGCATCACGAGCACATCACGAAAAAGCGATTCTACGAAATTAGCTCGATGCCTCACACACACCGGATAAGTAGTCAAACACGCCATTGTGCGCGATGATGTGAACTTACCCGTCTCGCAATTGTTGCCCTTCCATCCATCGATGCACACCTTGTCGCCGTTTGAATCACACATGTAGTGTCCAAACTTGTCATCTCGCGGGCGGCAGAATTTCGTACACGTTGCATTATAATAATGAGTATTGCACTGTACTCGTACTCGATAAGTCAACCTCGCCTGCCTCCCTTTGAAGTCCAACGTATGCCAATCTGCACTCGGATCGATGATCCCTGAATACGTGGCTTCTTCTATCAGGTTGTTACTCACTATAAACAAACAAGAAACAACGTTTAGAGATAGTTAAATCACAATCATTATTAGAATGGTTTCTGAAGCATCACTTGGAAGCGATTTTTAAAACTGTTTACATTTTCTTTTAAAGTGCGTAGGTTTCGAAAGGTGGCAGAACGCACCACTCGTAAGCATCATCATCATCAACCAGAAGTGCCCGGCAGGAGCACCCAAGTCAAGAGTACATCCTCTCGAGTGAACAGAAGACAAGAAAAGCAACGAGTTGTGTGCTGTAAACACGATGAAGATATGTTTCGAAGCGTTTCAACGATTGTCTCGACTGGTGTCGCAAGCACGTGTGATTTTTACCGTTTACACTGCCTCGGATGGACTGAAATTGACTTGTAAGATGCTGGGGCTGCACCCACGCGCCCATACTCAACAAGAGAATATCCATGTTCTACCACGAAGGCACAATGAAACGGCAATATTCATTCACGTTTAAATTCGCAATAATATGACAAGGTGTTGTTAAAACACAAAAAAAAAATTAAAAATTTTCAAGTTGAAATAAAACAAATCACGGAAATGTAGTTATAACTCCTAATAAATAATGATTTTTCATCCAAGTAGATAATTTGAACGTCTAAACACTTTGTGAATGTACCCACGTGGGCGAAACGTAATCGCATTGTGCACGTCGCAAGAAGCAGGCGAAGAAGAAGTCGTTGCGGACGTCGTAAGTCGAAGATTGTTAACGTTGAAGAAGGCGCGCGCATGTAACACGGTAGCGTACCGCTTCGAGGTCTTTATCAAGCCGGTACAACCAACAGCCAGCACGAGATAAACGAATGATAAACGCTGCGCGAGACACGAGACACTCGCAGGCATTGCGGACGGTAATATATGTTCGGATGAAAATGTGGAGCACGTTTCTCCTAAGGGTGTTCTTCGCTTAATGCGTATTCATTACAAATGCCGCCCATGCTTTGGCACACGCCACGTTGGAAACAAATGAAGGTAGAAATCCAACATCCAACTACCCTTAGTAGCCGCAGGCGAAACGGTACGCGCGCACAGTGTCTCGATTTCAATCTTTATAAACGTTGAGCATGAAGAAGCTGGTAGCTGGCAGCCCCGAGCGGGGAATAAATTTAAATAATCACCCACTCGTTTGCACACCTCATCACATTCATCATGTAATTTAATAAATCAACCTGGTGATTGTTATTTGTGAAATTAAGTAATTCACTAACCTGGATCTGAATAGTTATTGTGGTCCACTGCTTGTAAGATGAGTGTGAAAGATCTCTGTAACATTAAAAGACAAAAAAATTAATATTTCGCAACACACAAAGAAAGACATTGAAAAAAAGTATCGCAGCAACAGGATTTCATAATAATTAAAAATATTACATTTAAAGTGCTTTTAAAATGTTGATTCGCGTGTAGTCATTTTTCGCTCTTAATAAATATAAGGTTTGTCATAATTGTAGATGTTGCAAACTCCATTCTTGTGTCACTGGCGAGCGCAATCAAAGACAATGTATGGAATGACTTTGGATTTTATGTCTTTGTGCTTTTTGCGTTTCAAGAACAAAAAGTCGCGTGGAGTTTAATAGAATAAATTATTATGTACCAGTTAAGTCTCGTCCGTTCGTTGCTTCGAACAATCACAATAATTGCGATTGAGTAATTTGAGCGGTTTGCATAACGCACACGCCCCTATATGCTGCACAAGTTATGAGAGCGTTCTTCATTTGCATTTACATATAAATCAACCGCATGGCCTGGGCTCGAACGACTCTGACATCGACTGGAATCGTTTAGGTTTCAACTTTTTAGTTTCATTTGTTTATGACGCTGTGCAAAACATTTATATATGATTTTTGTACCTGCAGGTTAATATAATTATTAATAATAACTAATTACATTTATGATTTATACATGGGAATAAATTTCATCGCACAATATGACTTACAGCGGAATAAAAAAATATTGGCGATGCTTCCCTGCGCCGGCGGGCATGGGTCGATCGGTCGATATCTTCGGCATTTAATGAAAAGCGCACGCGAAATTCCAACGGTATATTTTTTGTGTGTACACACACGCGGCGCGGTTCCTTGCGAAGCTGGCCCCGCGGATGCCAACTTGCAAATTCGCGCACGTTACCTACGATACCGTTGGCTTTCGGGCGTCCGATTAACATGTATTAATCGAAGCAAGTTAATAACACCTACAGGGCGTTACGCAACCCAAGCAAACTCACTCAATCACACATGCAATACAATACGCTGTTTCATAACACTCTGTTTTATTTAATCGCTTGTAATCGAACGAAATTTCAATTAGCGGTTTTTTATTACGCACACTATGCGCACAGCTTTATACCCACTTGATAATTCAGGACTTCGTGAAGATGGAACAATTTCTACCGGCAGAGTTCACGAGAAAATTAAAACACTCAGAGGCATTGAAGGCGCACTGGAAGGCACTGCAGTTGTTGATGGTCCGATCGGCGGACACGCGCATGCGAAGCGGAATAAGTTCATTTCGTATTTCGCAGACGCGATAACTTTCGGGTATTTTAAATATGAGCGCGCATAAAAATAAAAACAACATTTCATTAAATGCCTTGGTGGTCTCATGCTGCTTTAGCACTCGACGAGTTTAATGCAAGCGTATTGAATTTTTATTCAATTTTATTGATATGATTATTGCACTCGCCAGATTCATCGCAGTTAAAATCTAAATGATTGCTTATTATGCAATTAACTGTATAATCAATTATCGTTGTTGAAATAAGCAATTTTCTGCTTAATTGTGTATTAAATTAATGTCATAAGGAAAGTTTGACAATCAGAAACTGTATTTTAAGTAGATTTCCTTTAAAATACCGAAAAATAAGAGAAACAAACATAGAAATATAAAAATATTCTATTAGCGTATTACAAGCGTGCTATGCAACCCTCTTTACACATTTTGACATCGAACTAGATGACAAACTCGTTATATACTTGATGCGTTGAGACAAAGAAATATGAAACCAATCCATTAGTGTGTTACATGCGTGCTATGCAACCCTCCTTACACATTTTGACATTAAACTGGATGTCAAACTCGTTCACCTACTTGACGAGTTAAAACAAAGTTAAATATATCTACCTAGATTACTATTATTCGTATGTCTGACGAAATATCCTTTGATAATAATCGTGCAATAATATCTTCAGCAGTTCAGCACTCGACGGTATTGTTACATTGTACGCTGAAAGCCAATTACAACTACCGTTTGGTGGCGCGTCCGAGTTGCGCGCCATTATCAAACTATCGACCGGATCGCTCAATCCAAACGCCGCGCGAATTCAATCAGAATTATTGTGTGCTCGCAACGAAAACGCCATTAACTCTGCATTGAACGGCGCGAGGAGCTCGCACGACGTTGTTGGCAATCTGTTATCCTCGCCGCGGTCACCGCTGACTGCTTAATTTTTCATTAAGCCTCGTTAAATGCACACAGCTGAATCCTCATACATTCATATCGTATCTTTTCTTGCTGTTCAAGCTTCACATCAAAAGCAAAAAAGACTGACATGTGTGAAGATGTAAAAAGCTTTGATGAAAATTTCAATTTCGATTAAATCGTCAATGAGTACAAATGATTTACTGCTGTACAAAGTAAGAAAAAAAAAACAGAGTTATATCTGTAGAAATATTTTATGATTTGTTTCTCACCTAATATAAACAAATTAATTACGTTTTTTTGCGCGCACCACGACCAGATTGAAAGCACGCTTTGTTTGTGGACGCGCTGAGCGCTCTCACAGCTCCGCCGGGCTCGAAGAAGCAGCAGAAGAAGAAGAGCGAGCAAAGTGTTAGCACCTGTTGACGGCGGATAGGCCGTTGACCAGCCATTATCATACGCAACTCGTCTTTCCAGTTTCTATTACGCTCGCCACTCCGCCGTGCGGCGTTTATTTCATAGGGAGTGCTGTTTCTTTCGCTGTCCTTGCAGGAGATGCGCCATCGGCCCATCAGCCCATCATCTTCGGTTACGATATTACCCAAATGCGCGCCAGTGGTTTTCTACCACATTTTCGGAAGCACTCTGTACACGCACTGCAGGCTTGCCGTTTTATGACTAAACGAAGAATACGCAGATTTTAATTCAATTAATTAATTGTCATTTTATTATATGACCAGTGTCGTTAAATAAACAAAAAGGCCCTAAGGTAATAAACGACAGTTAACTGCTAACAAATTAATAGATAGATAAATCAATAATTTTAATTTTCACCCTGTTAATTGAGCTGTTAATTGTTTTGTAGGAATGTACAATGCAAACAATTGTCTGTCGCACCGACTGTGAATTATCATCGATTCACTACTTTACACACTTTAAACACTGCTTCCCGGCGCCGATTGCGCATCGAATACAATGCATGTTTGCTCGCGATTGTTCGCAGTGTAATTATCAAAATAATTGCCATTCCTGTGCACTGCGCACTCAAGAAAAGTCTTCATAAACTCGACGTGGCTTCGCAAAACACAAAAAAAAAACAAATGTTTGTGTCTTGCCCTTTTGAATTCAATGCACATTCTATAAATTTATATTCCGCGATGGTCTAGATCCCTAGCAGATCTACGAACGGTACCGAACCTGTGTGTGTCAGGCTGAAAAGAAAGTGCAGCAGGATTCTCAGCGATCGAGGCGTTCGATAAATATGTATATTCAAACGGAGACAATCTTAGCGGTAGAGAGTCATAATTCATAACGTGTATTCACTGTATTCACGTTGGGTTTTTATTTTCGCTGGGCGTTCGCGTTGCATGTGTGACCATATTTAATAAGAGACTGTTCAAGCCGACGACGACGCTGACTGACTCTGTTGGCGAGCAGCGATTTCTATTTGAATTGCGTTCACCGACGACGCGCAGTACGGCCGGCCATTCAATGCGGGGACTTTTAAAAATTCATTAAAATAAAAATTTACTATACACACAGAGCGCGGGTACGGATCGCGGCGATGTGCCGAAAGCACACACGTCGTAAATCGACGCAAACACATTCCGATGGCCTCGCACCTGAGTACACACAATTCACCGCCATGATGGAATGGATGACGTTTGCGGGTTAAAGTGTTTTCGTTTTCTACAAACGTAGAAAATTTAATGATTGTATTTAAGGAGAAATTGCATGAAGTATTGATTGCAAGAGCTTAAAATAAATTTTCATGCAAGTTATGTTTGTTTTGTTTGTTCAAATATTGCAAAATCTGATCATTAAAAGAGTTGATGTGGAAAAGCGTTAAAAATCAAAACCATCGTGTGAATCCTCTTACTTTAACGCTTGATCATCGACTTTTAATTGCAATCTCCGATGGCGCATTACTTTCGATAATACAGTTCGATATTTTGCACATGTACGCAACGACGAAGCGTGATTTTCTGATTTTCGCTCGCTTTCGAATTGCATCAGAATCTTTCACGTCGCGAAGATGAAGAAGACGCTCCTCCATGGGCGCACTCTGCGCAGCGCTCTTAATACGCGTTTAATGACTTTTCACATTAACGACTAATTGAATTGTACGTAGGTACGTACTACCTGCTTCTTCTCAAGCATCTTTCGATACGATTTTTTCCACATTTCCGCAAAACATTTTTACACCGTCTGACAGCTCGATTCATACGATGAGAAGCACTACGCCACGACGCGCAAAAGTCATAAAACAATATTTTACGTATCGGGTGAAAGTGTTCGTGCTGAGTCCGTCGCTCACCACTTACTTAGCAGGAACAGCAGCCTGCAATGCAAACGGCAGGAACAAAGTGCGCACACACTCATTAAATGCGATGCAATAATGCATTTATTAAAAGCCGGCGAATGTCGACACCATGCACAAAAAGATAAAAAAACTTCTTCCGCGTGTTATAACCACGCGTAGAGATTGCGAGCGTTCGTGGAAAGTGATAAAGTGATGAAATTTATTATGCCCAAATTGAGTCATTAGATAAAATCATCGAAACGCGCACAGAATTACATTGTACAGCGTCATCTGGCGTTTATAGAAATTTGACAGCTGCCACTTAAACTTTTCATGTTATTGTTCCACCCATCGAAATCAATAATAATGATCGTACTGATATATTACATTCGTGATTACATTAAAAATCCACGTACCGTTTGTGCCGTGGCCATAAAAATCGCGTAAAAAGAAACTAATATAAATTACACATCATAACAGCATAAATTAATCATTAATAATCAATGAGTGATCAATCATTTCAATCATTTTCGTTTGCGCTTGTTA